TGCGCCGTCCTCCTGCCTGCTCGCCCGCTCGCCTGGGCCCCGCGCTCCGGGCCCCGCCACGCCCCTGGCCCGACCCCCGCTCCGCGGCCAGAGCCTCCCAGGCCACTGGCAGTAGTATCTCAGTGTCCTCCTTCCAAACAGGAGTACACCAAGGCAGCAAAGCACAGAAACTGCCTCCCTACGGGGGCCAGTGCGGGGAGAAGGCGCCCGCGGGGCTGGGGCTCTTCCCAGGTCACTGGGTTTCCAGCCCACGCTCTGGGCAGACAGGGTCGCGGCAGCGTCCGAGCCGCACGCCCACCGCCCCCGCCCCGGCTGCGAAACTGGGGGCTGCCCGGACCGCCTTGAGGTCCCTTCCAGCCCGAGATCGTGGGCGGCGGCTCCCGCCTGGCCCAGGCATTAGCCTGCACTTTGCAGGGCCCCGTTTCACAACTAAATCACCGCAGAAGCTTCCCAGCCAATAAATCACCTGCCCACCGCATAGAGGGTCCCTCCCTCTCCCCATGTTTGAGAACTCCCGGGCAAATTCAGTGAAGGGCCAGATTTGGCCTGCAAGACCGATCTGTGACCTCCTACTCCAGTCCTGGAGGCTTTGCGTTTTCAGATTTCACCCCTTGCTAGGATGTGACTCATCATTGTCAATTTTCAATATAATTCATATAATTCGAAGGAAAAATCTGTCACAAAAGAAAGGAGCAAGCTTTCCTCTAGTCTGAAGAAGAGTGACCTTTGTTACTTGATGAAAGTATCATTCACATGATCAACAGGCATCCTGGGCTGTGTGCACACAGCATCTCCGCGGGAGCTAGGGCGAGGAAAGAGAGGGCCCTACCCTCAAGGAGTTCCAGTCTGGGAGAAAGGCAGACAGGTAAACAGATCAATCTTTGGGCCTGTAAGAAAAGCAGCAGAGGAACAAAGGGTGAAGGGTGGAGCCAGAAGGAGGAAGCAACTTACTCTGCTTGCTGATGTCTTAGAGGAAGTGATAAGGAAGATCATGAGCCTGCCAGGTGGGCTCCAGCACAGCTTCAAGTCAGCCAAGAAGGGCATATGGAACATTCTGGGAACTGCAGGGAGGACAGGGTGTGCACAATGGAGTGCCAGCAGATAAGACTGAAGAGGCAAGTGAGATCAGGTTGCAGAAAGCCTTTCAGGCCAAACTGCAGAATTATGGTTCTACCTGTAGGCCAGCAGAGAAAATGAAGTGGAAGCTTTCCATGAAAACACTGGATAAGGACCGTTCCAGTGGCATGTGTGGTCTAAGCATGGATAAGGGACAGACCAGTTAAAGAGACTAGTGACACAGCCCAGGTGTGAGATGAGGAGGACCTGAAATACTGGCACATTCAACCTCAGTCACCAGAATTCCTGATTCTTAATTTTTTTTTTTTAAAGTATTAAGTATTTACTGAACACCTAGCACTGGCAGGGATTTACTGAAATACTGGCACATTCAACCTCAGTCACCAGAATTCCTGATTCTTAATTTTTTTTTTTTTAAAGTATTAAGTATTTACTGAACACCTAGCACTGGCAGGGATTTAAAAAAAAAAAAATAGAGGTGGCCATGGACCTTTATTAAGTGGTGATTCATTTTTATCAGGTAAGATAATATGTGTGAAGTCATTACAGAACTCTGAGACATTATCCAGCCAAGCGTAAAACTGAGGTACACCTCATTAGTGCAGCAAGGAAGTCAAGAAGAGGGATGGACTGGCATGGCCTGTAGTAGTTCAGAATGCCTTCACCAAAGCAGGGAGACATGGGCCAGATCATGAAGAATGGACAGCATTTGCTGGGGGATGGGGGAGGGTTGGAGGTTTTCTCCATGAAGGACAGAGGTGGAGAATGGGGGGTGGGTTGAGGTTGGCAATCTAGTGTCCGATGGTTGAATGACAGTACCATGCAATCTAAACATGGGCTTGATGGCAAGCAACACACACCAGGCTCCCTGGAAAGAGGCCCACAGAGTGAAGGCAGCATGTAACAAAGGCTGATTGTGGAACCTCAGAATAATGTGGTAGAGATAGACAAACTTGAATTCAGATCCTGTTTTTTCCATTTATTATGAGGTAATTCTCTGAACATTATCCATTCAACTAATAGTAATTAAGTACTTACCATATGTAAAATCCTCACAACCTAAGGAAGTACTATTACTATCCCCATTTTACAGACAAGGAAGCTGAGGCACAGATGGTTAATTAACCATATCAAGGTGACCAAACTCTTCAAAGGTAAAGCCAAAATTCAAACCCGGCCTCCAAAATGCATTTGCTTCACTGACACACTCTCTAAAATGCAGATAAGAGTCTACAATGGTAACTATTTTCTGGCATGGTACCATCATCTGTGACTCTGCACTTTGCTGTTGGACCCAACATCAAATCACTAAGTCCTCAGTATTTTTCCTAAGAAAAGTCTCTCAATGTCCTCCTTTCTTGCCCATTCTAGTGCTAGTCCCAGGCCAGGCCTTTAACCCTCTTTCCTAATAACCAGCCTGTTAATCCATCTCCCCCATCCAGCCATATATAAGCCTCTTCCAAGGAACTTTTCAAAATCACAGGTCTCATCATGAGTCCCACACTATCTTACCCCCATACCATACCTAAGAAGAGCACTTTGACCTCTCCAGGATGGTGTTTACACCCTTAGCCCTTAACTCAAGACCCTCCAGGATCCTATCCCTGCCCACCTTTCCAGCCAGATGTCCACTAATACCTGGCCCATACTGGAACCTCTGTCTGAACTCCAGAGTCTGGGTAAGATACCTCCAGGTTCACCTCAAACCCAAGCTTCAATCTCTCCCACTCCAAAATGAAACTTTCCTGGCCATTCCCTCCCATTTGCTTATTTATTTGTATAAGGCCTTATTTACCCATAGAGTCTATAAACTCTGAAAAGACAGGAATTAGTATATCTTACACTATTTTGCCTCCCTAAAGCACTAGTCAGTTGGTGCTCAGCAAGTTTGTTTTTCTTTTGGTGGTTGGCCAGCATAGGGATCTGAGCCCTTAACCTTGGTATTACAAGGCAGTAACTCTAACCAGCTGAGCTAACT